CCAGAGGCAAGTCTTAATCATGATGTTGGCAATTTAGGTCCATTCACTCGATTCTGAGAGGAGATGCGCCAACATGGGGGGTCATAAGTCACGTGTGCTGCAAGCACCGGTCACAGACCTGGATAAATGGGAACGCTGTGTGAGGAAGGGCGTCTGTGCTAAATGAGACATGCAGATCCACCCACTATGGGTGTGACAGCAGGCTTAAGCACTTTCACCTTTAGCTGCATTCACTCCCATTCATTTGGGACTATCTCACAAGCGCCCCCTGCTGTGCTCTTGTCTGAATGGCAGCCAGTTTCTGTACAACAAAGTTAACAGGAAGTGCATGCTCAATCATCCGGGTAAGTAAATCCCAAAAACTTGATTCTGTTCATCTGGACGTAGCGATCAGTGGGAGAAACGTTTCAGTGGGCTGTTTTCAGTCATTGTGCAAAGGTAATGTTTATAAGGTTGGAAACCTGCAGTCAGCTGAGACTGAAGAAGTCACTCGGATGAGTGACAAAAATGTTCCTCCCATTAAAACACTACATCCAGATGCACAGAATCAACTTTTTGGAATTAACAGGAAGTGGACTTGTTCTCCTGGATCCATTCAGGAGCAAGTTTTTTAAAAACTGAAAAGTTTTTCTCCACAATAACTTCTTAACCCCAGAGTTTCAGTCAGGAGCATCAATTGTTTGGTTTAGTGCAGCAGGTATAAATATATGCAAATAATCATTTACATATAATGAACATGATTTTGGTGAAACAGCTGTTTCATTCATTGATTTCCATGTTTTTCACCCTTGGGAAGCGAGATTCTCTATTCTATTCACTCTATTAACTGAAAGAAATATTTAAAAAAAGGGACATTTTAGCTCATTGTGCTAAACATTAAAGGAGGTGTCAGGTTTTGTAAAATTTAATTCCTGGATTATGAAGTGATCGTCTGCCCTGAAGTGAAAGCTCTGAAGCTTTCACCTTTTTTAAATCACATTAGTGATTTTATTTTCCTTTCACCACAAATCAAATCCTCCTTCCTCTGTCCTTTCTTTCCTCATTCCATCAGCTCATGCTCCTTCCCTTTATCTCATTTGTTTAGTGTTCTTACTATCATTGGTTTTTTCCTCTCTCCACTCTTCTAGAAACTAATCCAAGTAAAGACACCACC